GTTCTTTCTTTAAGTATATAATATTATATTAAATTGTTTAACGATAGAAAATCCGTAGGTATTATGAACGTACTGTACCCAAAGTCCGTAAATCTACGGATTAATCAGTAGTTCTGGCAACACTGTCTGCGGCATCGACAATCGCCCACTCTGTCGACTGAAAGCAAAACTACGCTACACAGTATTCTTTATCCTCTGCGCTGTATACGACTATCAACGTGCAGCGGCGCAGAGCTAAACTAAATCTCGAAATTCTCGGACAGGCTGACGGTAACGGCAGCTACATCTCGGACAGGTATGGGACCAACGAAATGTTAAGATATATGGAATGGGTCTGCCCCGTATCGATCGATGTTAGAATGAGACAGACACGAAGGATAGCGATAGTCAGGGCAGAAAATGGCTTCTTGTCATTAAAACCGTGTGTTTTTGTCAGTTTTTAGTGCATGTTTTTAGAGATTTTTGAGTGTATTTTTGTTTCTGGTGGAGTTTTAAACTGTTATTTATACTTTTTGGTGATTATTACAAACATTTTTAGACCGCATAGACGATTTTTTAGTTGTATTTGTGTTGAAATGGTTGAATCTTGCAGTGCAGTGAATTGTAGCAATAGGCGAACAAAGGAGGTTAAAATGAAGTTTCACAGGTAAGTTTTTCCCTTTGATTAGTAATGGATTGCTAAAATATTATCTATTTTTAATAAATAATAGAATTCCCAAGGACCCCAACTTAAGAAAGTTATGGTTACTGGTTATGGTTACTAATTCAAAACAATATTTAAATCGGATTTCAAAATGACTAGGACTTATTTACAATTAAAGTCCTATCCTAAATGGCTAAATCTTTATAACTCTAATAAAAAGTCGCTCGCTTCAGATCAAAAGGATTTTTTTCAAACGTCCCAAGAGTAATAACTTTTGTAATTTTAACGCCTATGCATAAAAGTAAAGCACTTTTACGCCTAAGCACAAAAGTACAAAAATATATTATTAAACAAAAAAATATTAAGGGTCAAATTCAACGAGTGTAAAAATTGTTGCTCGATTACTGTTTATATTATTAGCAATGTTTCTCAAATTGATTAAAACATTATTTGTAATGTTTTAAGAAAAGATTTTGTCCTGTTCGGAGTAAAAATGTACTTTTTGTGCCTCCCTGTAACGTCGGAATAGTTTTACGATGGTCCTTCAATTCGTCAAAAAAAGGGTAATTTTTACTCCTAATAAAGCAATACACTATTGTTCGGAAATAGTCCTAATTCTAGAATTAAATTAATATTATTTAACGTCAAAGTGTAAGGAACTTACAGCTGATCAAAATGTCGGTAGGAATTTGGAAACATTTTCAAAAAAAAATACACCGTTTGAAAAAAAATATATAAAACAACATATTTTCTGACGATTATAATTTCTCGGGAATGAAGATATAGTCTCTATATCAGAAGAACCTATTTCCTAGTTCTGCACTACACTGCGAATGATATGTATTCGAACAGCGACTTTTTGTCACTTATACATAAATTTTAAAATTTTAGTTTAGCGGTCTAATGGATTCACACGAAATTACTTCAAAAATCGGTCCAACATTTAAATTGATGAACAGATATTTTTATATAGTTCTATAACATTTACAATTATTTTTCGATTTATTATCTGTTATATGTTATAGAAATATTTTTTATAGTTTTCTAAAACACATTTTTATAACTTTTACAGTTATTTTTTTATTTATTATAAAGTTTCAATAAAATTATTTTTTTTTTATTTAAATCACATGATTAAAATTTAAAAAAGTCACTTGATTTGGTACCCCACCACAACCCTGGGTATAAGTATGTAGGTAAGAAGTTTGCTTAAATTATAGCGTTGGATTTTTTACTAACCTATATAAAAAATAAATTTATACCTACTATTTAGTGTTTTTATTTGTGTTTAGTTGGGTTAATCTCGAGTAATATATTTCAATTTTTCAAAATCAGTACTTTTATTACCTTACAATTACCTCCAAATTACCTAAAATTAATTTAAAGTGTTTTTATTACTATAAATCTGAAAATATTCCTAATATTTCCTATACCGGCCATTTAAATCCGCGCGTCTTTTGCCCTGACTATCGCCGTCTCTCTCTCTCGGACCTCTCTTTCTTATGTTGGCTGCATATTCCGCTCATTGCTTAGATAGCCCGGGGCCATTCCATGTATCTTAACATTTCGTAGGTAATTTGTGATTTCGTTGTATGGGACAGATTTTGTGTCACGAAATCGCCCATAAGGTTGCGCATCTTCTTATTTTTCAATCAACGATTCAGTTTTCCTTATTTAAAAAAAAATACTAAGTATAAAATATCTTCAATGAACAGAGTTTATAAATCCTGTATTACTACTGACAATTCCAGCATATTTATTTAATTCTGAGAATTTGCCAACCATTTATTTTTTTATGGACAAATTTAATATGGGAATTAATGAAAGAATACATTTATAATACAATATACGATTTCGTTTTTATGATTTTTATTACATACCCGCTTCTAAAATTACTAAAATCTAATAAAACATAAAAATCAACTAAACGTTCACGTTTTCAGTTGAAACCTTAGCATTTTGCCTCGACCGTTATGCTAATTCAATGCTTATTCAGTATTCGGAGCGAGCTGTATAAATACGCATGAATTACGGGAATAAAAATTCAAAACAAGGTCCCACCCACCTCGCTCTCTACTCCAAGATAAAAATAAACACCCCAAAATGACACACATAATATTTTCCCATCGGGTTTGCAGCCGATAAAAAAGCATATTGAAATTTACCAATCAGAAAATAAATAACGCCGAACAAAAAAAGACAATAAAAAGCACTTGAAAATGCAATTTATATAATATAATGTGATATATTTGGAAATACGAATATAAAGTACAGGGTGAGTCAAATTGGACGCTTTTAAAGGGAAACACCTTTTTCTGTAGGAGAAAGACGAAAACTAATATCGGTGTCTGGAGCTCAATTTTTATCCAAAACTTGATGGTGAAAACCGCCCATCCATATCTGTTACCGTTTCAGAGTTACAGGGTGTTTTTCAAAAATGTCTATTTTTAACAAATCGCTGTTTTTTGCTATGGAAAATTTTGTATTTTTATGAAAACATTTCCAAAGCACCTTTTAACGTAGTTTACCAATAAAAAATAATATATTATATGTTATTAATATTAATTAGAGTTTAAAATAGAGGGCAGGTAGATGACAGCGTTCAGCGATGAAGTAGACGAATCAGATCATTTTATTTGGCACAAGCGCACGAAGATTCTGTTGAACCGGAAGGATAGACTTATGCCAGATTGATATTCCTATTTCACTTCTTTGGCTTCACTTTCCACTCATTGTGTAAACGCGGTACTAGCAATATAGTCTTATAATGTATTTTGGGTGCTACAGATGCCCGACGCACTTTTGTCGGACCTTGTATGTTAGAGCCCCTATCCCTCTGTTTACATATTTCTCTGACATATTATCCTTTAATTCGTTTCCTCTACATAAATACGTACAGTCACCAGACACGATCTAAATGAATATAAGCAACATGGCATGATTAATAAATAGTGTTATTATACATAAACGTAACAGTTTATTTAATTTTCTTAGTGTAAACACATTATTTTATTAATCCCATTGTTCCCACGATGTGCGCAAAATTACTTTCTTTACTTGACAATAATAATATATACCTATATGATTAAATAAATAATATATTTTGTTATACTACACACATTAGAATTAACAAAAATAAATCCAGAGGATAAAATTCTTATGAGCTCGGAATGTCTACATGAACTAATAGTTAGCTTGCCAGCTATGTATTTCCTCTATTGAGGTAAACTACTCGAGGTAATACTAAAACATCTTTCTATTTGAAAATTTTTCAAACCAAACATTCTACTAATGGTAAATCTTTCTCATCTATACACAATTTTTTTCAATCAAAATTCTATATATTTGCTCTCAGAAAGACCATTTCGTTGTAGAGTATATGGAGCTGATAGCCTTCTTTGAATACCATATAAAATAATTTTCATAAGTATTATTACAATATTCACCTATTCCATTATCTATTTGTAAGCATTTAATCTTTAGTACGCATAATTGTAGGTGTCATCAATGGAAACTATCCCACGGGGTAAACCTCGCGAGATGGAAGATTTCCAACAACGACTACTGCAGAGAATGCTGAGAGGAAGAAGAAACCATAGAGCACCTGCTGTGCCACTGTCCGGCACAGGAATACCGATGCTTTAAAACTTTAGGGCAAGGTTTTTTGGAGGGACCAGATGAAGCAGCAGAAGCCAACATCAGCGACATCGGGAACTTTGCAAAGAGCTGGAAGTGCTTTAACGCAAACAAAGAATGAGAGACAACAATACACATTGGTACAACAATAACAGGGGTATAGCGATGGGTCCAAGGCTTCCGAGTGAGGGATCAAACATGATACGTACCTACTTAGGTATATTCATTAAATGTTTCCAAAGTAAAATGCTTATGCTATAACCTAACCCTACAATATATTGTGTATTCATCTATAAATGAAAATAATCCAAAATATTCATTGGGTCACAAACATCAGAATGTACAACATCTAAAATGTATTTGGCTTTTTCACTATTTTCAGACACAAAAAAGAATCTCGAAATGTCATCCTTATATTTCACATTCTCCAATAATAATTTCACTGTCTTTCAAATTGGAAACTGGTCAAATAAAATCAAGAGTCAAAGTAGAAAAACAAATACCATTCAGAAGACATAACAGCAATCTACTGATACTTATATCATGATATGTTCACCTAGATATCGAATTATTAACATTAAATTTAAGCCTTTCATTAAACGATTCATATTAATGTGTCAAAATAGTTCAACAAATACATTTTTGTCCCAGAGTTATCCTTTTACTCATTGTCAAGCTCGACAATAATCTATAATTTTATATTTTTTAAAATTCTACTCACCTCGGGTCTTTGGAACCTGGCAAGCAACTACCACCACTGAAGAACGCCGTCAGTGCCTTAGGATAAGGACAGTCTCCCTCCTTGATCAACCAGCCAATAATAATATATACCTATATGATTAAATAAATAATATATTTTGTTATACTACACACATTAGAATTAACAAAAATAAATCCAGAGGATAAAATTCTTATGAGCTCGGAATGTCTACATGAACTAATAGTTAGCTTGCCAGCTATGTATTTCCTCTATTGAGGTAAACTACTCGTGGTAATACTAAAACATCTTCCTATTTGAAGGTAATTTTGAAGGAAATTTTTCAAACCAAACATTCTACTAATGGTAAATCTTTCTCATCTATACACAATTTTTTTCAATCAAAATTCTATATATTTCCTCTCAGAAAGACCATTTCGTTGTAGAGTATATGGAGCTGATAGCCTTCTTTGAATACCATATAAAATAATTTTCATAAGTATTATTACAATATTCACCTATTCCATTATCTGTTTGTAAGCATTTAATCTTTAGTACGCATAATTGTAGGTGTCATCAATGGAAACTATCCCACGGGGATAAACCTCGTGAGATGGAAGATTTCCAACGACGACTACTGCAGAGAATGCTGAGAGGAAGAAGAAACCATACAGCACCTGCTGTGCCACTGTCCGGCACAGGAATACCGATGCTTTTAAACTTTAGGGCAAGGTTTTTTGGAGGGACCAGATGAAGCAGCAGAAGCCAACATCAGCGACATCGGGAACTTTGCAAAGAGCTGGAATTGCTTTAACGCAAACAAAGAATGAGAGACAACAATACACATTGGTACAACAATAACAGGGGTATAGCGATGGACCCAAGGCTTCCGAGTGAGGGATCAAACATGATACGTACCTACTTAGGTATATTCATTAAATGTTTCCAAAGTAAAATTCTTATGCTTTAAAAATTATAACCTAACCCTACAATATATTGTGTATTCATCTATAAATGAAAATAATCCAAAATATTCATTGGGTCACAAACATCAGAATGTACAACATCTAAAATGTATTTGGCTTTTTCACTATTTTCAGACACAAAAAAGAATCTCGAAATTTTATCCTTATATTTCACATTCTCCAATAATAATTTCACTGTCTTTCAAATTGGAAACTGGTCAAATAAAATCACGAGTCAAAGTAGAAAAACAAATACCATTCAGAAGACATATCAGCAATCTACTTATACTTATATCATGATATGTTCACCTAGATATCGAATTATTAACATTAGATTTAAGCCTTTCATTAAACGATTCATATTAATGTGTCAAAATAGTTCAACAAATACATTTTTGTGCCAGAGTTATCCTTTTACTCATTGTCAAGCTCGACAATAATCTATAATTTTATATTTTTTAAAATTCTACTCACCTCGGGTCTTTGGAACCTGGCAAGCAACTACCACCACTGAAGAACGCCGTCAGTGCCTTAGGATAAGGACAGTCTCCCTCCTTGATCAACCCTTTGGAAACCAAAGTGTACAATGGAGCGTTGTATCCAGCAGTCCTGCCAATACCAGTGTGACATGACTTCTTTCCTCTTAGATCCTCGAAGGACTTGATGGAAGAATCCTTCCTTACCACGGCTACAGCGTAATAAGATCCACCAGTAGGACCATATTGTTCGGCAAGAATGGGTTTAAGGTTGTGTTCTTTTTGGGCAATATCAACCAGACCGCCTAAAAATAATAAAGTATTTATATTGAGTGTAGTTTTTTTTCATAACTTGGTAGAAAATCTTGAAAACTTTCTTATTGGAAGAACAAAGGTCCAAAGAAAGATTGCGAATACCTAAATCATCTAAATTGATGTCGGTTAATTTAGGGCACTTTTTAAAAATATAAAGAGCTCTACGGGGTGTCCCCAAAAAAAGTTACATATCAAAGTTGTGTTTTTTGGAAAGGAACACCCTATATATTAATTGATTTTCAGATTCTCGGAGAAAAATAAAGCTTAATAGAGTTTTATTACAGAAAAATAAAGTTTTATTAGAGAAGTATATGACTAAAATGTAAGGTTTTGGACATACGAGTATTTAACATTTTCTAAAAATAAAGAACAATTTTTAAATTACAATAAAAGCTACCTAAATTGAAATTTATCTAGTTTAGCCTAATATCTAGTTAAAATAACTATTGTACTTTAAATCAAATTAAAACTTGGCCCAAAAAGTTATACAGGGTGAGACAAAATTAATATTGAACATTGATCACTTCTAAAAGCAAGTTACTCTTTTATTTTAAATGGAACAACCAGTATATTATTCCGATATGCAATGGGGAATTCATGTTCTTTCAAAATACTATTAAGGTTGCCTACATCTCAAACAAAGATTTTCCTAGGTATTTTCATTTTTATAATTTAGTGACAGTAGATCTTTATTAGTTGAAAAATCTAGGTGGCTGTGATATTATTATGTATGACGTTTGTAACAACTTATCCTACATACATTACACCGAACATTATTACCCTACATTTTGTAACAACTTATGCTACATCAGAGAGAATTCATATGATTCTATTATTTGGTGAATGCAGTGTGTATTCACCAATTTATAGAATAGATAACTGCTCCTGATTTTATCTAGTCTATCTAGTGTTTTTTTTATGGGGATATGTTAAACACAATGTTTACAAAATTTGACCAACTATTGTCGACAACATGAGAAAAATAACTGTAGCTGCTTTTCGAAGTAGAACTCGACATGTGCATTTTAAAATGAAAAGATCTTTTGAAAAGAGAGAATCATTTTAAGCAGTTAACAGGAAAGGAAGCATTTTGAGCATTTGATTTCATCTAGCTAATTTTTGTCACATAATTATAGACTTATATCTAGTTTCTTCTGTAATCAACAAAATCACAAACATCAGAATGTACAACATCTAAAATGTATTTGGCTTTTTCACTATTTTCAGACACAAAAAAGAATCTCGAAATTTTATCCTTATATTTCACATTCTCCAATAATAATTTCACTGTCTTTCAAATTGGAAACTGGTCAAATAAAATCACGAGTCAAAGTAGAAAAACAGAAGGCTGTGATAACAAAAGGTATATCACAGCCATCTAGATTTTTTCAAATAATAAATATAGCTGACGCATCAAAATCATAAAAATTAAAATATCTAGAAGAATTTTTATCTAAAGGGTACAACCTTAAAAATATTTTGAAGATATATAAATTCCCCATTGAACACCGGAATAATATACTGGGTGTTCCATTTAAAATAAAGGAGTAACTTGTTTATAAAAGTGACCAATGTTCCATATTAATTTTGACTCACTCTGTATAACTTTTCGGATCAAATTTTAATTTGGTTTAACATACAATCGTTATTGAAATTAAATATCAGGCTATACAGGGTAAATTAAGATTTAGATAGCTATTATTGAAATTTAAAATTTACTCTTTCACAAAATGTGAAATATGCCAATATCTTTACAGTTTAGGCATATGCACTTTGGGCAATTATGAAAAAGTTCGGAGTACCCATCAAATTTCTTACAGTGCGTAAAAGCCTCCATAACAACAACAAATCAAGAGTGTCATATCATGGATCACTGAGCGATCCCTTCCTAACAAACACAGGCGTTAGGCAGGGATATTTCTTGGCGCCTCTCCTATTCAATATATTCATGGCAGCGCTCTCCATTTCCATTATAGTGGACAGCAAACTGCAGGAGAGAGGTTTGGGCATTAGATACAGATACGACGGCGGTCTGTTCAACATAAAAAGACTCAGGGCAAAAACACGTACAAAATTCATCATAGAACTTCAATACGCTGATGCCTGTGCTCTAGTTGCAAATACGTTACAGCAATTGCAAGAAATGTTATACATGGGCATACGAGGCCTTGGGACTTAAGCTGAACATCGATAAAACTAAAATCATGTGCACTCCCCCGGAAGATCACAACAATGCTATAAAAATCGGAGATGAGCTGTTGGAATATGTAGCGGGGAATTCAATTACCTCGGCAGTTTGATTTCGGAAAAGTCCAATATCGATTAGCAGGATTAGCAGCGCCTCAGGAGCATTCTGGAAATTAAAAGATAGGGTTTTCTACAATCAGGAAACGAAACCTGGGTGCCGTACCGTCGACACATGAACGCATTAAACAAGTTGCAACAGAGACATCTTAGACAACTGTTAAGAATAAAATGGTTCCATCATGTCTCAAACGTATCGGTCCTTGAAAAAGCTAACTGCAAGAGTATTGAAGTCATGATTACAAAGTCCCGCTTAAGATGGGCTGGTCACGTATGCAGAATGCAAGAAAACCGCATACCAAAATCTCTGCTTTACGGTGAGCTTGTAGACGGTAAGAGGAGGCCGGGTGGAAAGGTTCAAGGATATTTTCCACGAAACCTTAAAGGGAATTAACAAGCAGAATGAGTGGGATGAAGCAGCTCCCAATAGAACGGAATGGAGAAGAATTGTAAAGTCAGTTAAGAGCGACAACCAAAAAGTAAAGAGGCAACAAAGCAATGAGATTTTTGAATGTCTGGAGTGCGGTAGACAGATAACATCACGTATCGGGCTTTTCAGTCACAGGAAAGTTCATGAAAGAAAACGCCTTGCGTGACCATCTTCTGATGCATGTCAAATACTCGTCAGCGAGTAATGGCGGTATGTATGTATGTATATGCATCTTCAATAAACCTCACCGTTATTTTTTCTCCTAGACTCTGAAAATCAATTAATATATAGGGTGTTCCATTACAAAAAACACAACTTTGATGTGTAACTTTTTTCGGGGACACCCTGTATAACTCTATATATTTTTATAAAGTGCTTTCAATTAACCTACATATGCTCTCAAAATTTCATTTAGATATAAACTACCGTTCTCCTTGAAGCCTCCGCGTCGTATGAGAAGCGCCACCCTGTATGTATAGTCTAAGAGCAACGTTTTCGAGAAAGTATTTTAAGAAAGCTGGCTCTTTGATATATCTTTTACTATGCTCTCTGAAACAGCATGCAGTGCATCTAGCTGCCGATGCCCGGTGCGTTTACTACTGCGCATCGGAAGAAGATCCTATATATTTTTTTTTATTTAGTCCGTTAAATTCTGGTATTGAATTACAAATCGAACAAGTCTCCATAGCGCAGCGCGTAGAGTTTCCGACTACGAACCGAGGATACAGAGTTCGAGACCTTTTTTATTTTATTTTCGTTTATATTCTGAGAGTATTAATTTTTTTTTTGAATCGGCAGAATTATTTAATACTTTACTATCAGAATATAAACGAAAATAAAATAAAAAAGTTTTTGCCCTGACCTGGTCTCGAACTCTAACATAGCTTGATAGGCGGAACCTCGATCTACGCGCTGAGCTATAGAGACTCGCTCGGTTTATATTCAATACTAGAATTTAAACACTAATAAAAATATAGGATCTTCTTTCAATGCGCAGTAGGGAACGCAACATTTATACCGACAGCCAGACGGACCGCATGCTGTTCCAGAGAGCATAGTAAACGATATATTAAAGAGCTAGCTTTCTTAAAATACTTGTTTTCCCGACGTTGGCGTTGCTAGCTCTCGTACTAGTATATGTAGTTACTGGAAAAGATTCATGTGGCCATATTTTTCATGAAACACTATTTAAATGTTATTAGAGTTTTTATAATACTTTATTGATTATTAGAGAGAATGTATTTACATACCATCAAGAGTAATAACATCGGCACCATTATCCCTGATAGTATTCAGACATTTATAGACGCTCTCTTCTAAAACACAATCGAATCTTGGGCGGATATTTCTGGAAAATGCGGCTTTGCTCAAAGTCCTACACTTGTCCTCTTCGTCCTTTGAGGTAACGCAGAATCGGATCGTCTTGAAAGGTGGGCCGTAATCTCTTTCAATAACATCTAGAGAAGATACGTTTAAAAATAACTAAAATGCGTATGGGTTCCTTTTTAAGGGATTTAGTTATACATAGTTTATAGATCTATTCGAAATCCAAATAGAAAACACATTTACATCAAATATGTAGGATATTTTTATGTTAAAAGCTTCTTAAAGAATAAAAATAAGTTTAAGGTTTCAAAAGCATCAAAGCGGCTTGAATAAATAAAAATTGATAATTCGGGGATAAAAATCCTATTTACAGATGGAAATGATTTTTTCGACATTTCAAAAATATATTTACAGCATAATATTAACAGCAATGATGTGTAGATGTAATCATACTTAAGGTGCCCATTCACATACAGTTCGCCGGCAGTCCAGAACTGTCGATTTGTATACCGTGTTAACTGTTACTTTTGGGTCGGCTTTTACATGTGTGGAAGTAAATCGCATAGGGATCTTATTAAGTCGAAGTGAGAGAAATGCGACGGTGTGCTGTTGCGGCGTTGCCGGTACGCCTTTCCCTATCAAGTAAGTAATATAAGAAACACAAACCGCTTATTTTTAAAAGACTTTTTTTCAAGAGATGACTAGATAAAATCATTAGACATGTTTCTGAGCATCTGAAATGGAATTATAAGGATATCGTTAGGGTGTCATTTTTTTATAACGAGAAAACGTCAGTAATCGCGATAATTTAAAAACTCAACTTTTAACACATAACAGGCCATTACTCAAGAACCACTTCAAATATTGAAACTTTTTTTTTATTTTCAAGATCAGATATTTTACAATATGTTTACATAAGAAAAAATCGATAGGGTTGTTTTTTCCATTCAAAAATTGTAAACAATCCATCCATTTACTTATAGAGCATAGCAATTTTCAGCAATCGTGTAATTTTTTTATTGATAAAGATTTTCACATACTGTCTACAAAGAAAATACAGCAGAAATATTAACAAAGTTCTTGAAAAAACTACAATCTGTTATTTCTAATAGATTTCGAGATATCGGTTTTTGAATTCAGAGTTCTAATAGCGCAACCACTATCGAACACCCACTCAATTCCACTTATTTTTACCAAAAATGCAAGTGTGAGCTTGCACTTAAAAAAATTCAAGCTATAGGGAAAATTACAACGACTCGTTAATAAATAAACAAATTAAGTATCACGAGACGTAATTAAATCGTGAAGCTGAACGCATGACGTACACCTTTCCCTAGAACTTTAAATACTGACAGAGGTATTGATTGGGTCGACCGGTCAACCTGCGACAAATCTGCTATATCCCCTTCCACGTCTCTTAAGGCGCATTTTCACGAGTCGATTTTAGTTGATCAACTTAAGTTGACCAATAAAAAACGAAACCAAATTTTTGTTCACACACGTCAATAGAAATTGATTGGATTGTAGTTTTGAAAATGGCTTCGAACGAGGTTGTTCAGGCAGGCATAGCAGTCATTTGTGAGTTATTAAGTGAAGAAATCAGAGACATTTTATTAAAATTTGGCAAAAAAAAACAGAAAACGTCGGTTTTGGGTCCGGAACTGGATACTGAGGAGAAATAAACTGGATGTTTCAGGAGCCCTGCTCAAAGAGCTTGCATTAGGGGATCGTCTTTTTTACCGCAACACCAAAGTCGCAAAATAAACTTGAATACAAAACTCGATCGCTTTACTCTCACGACTCAATCGCGTTTCAACTTGTCTTTAAATTCGCCTGTGACTCATTAGTTGATCGATAAGTTTTGAATGGGTCAAACTTTATTGGTTCAACTGAAATTGATCAACTTAAATTGAAAACATGGTTCACATGCATATTTTTGTTCGATTTTAATTACCTGTTTCGACCTGTTTACTGTCCTCTCTTTGTTCAGTACATTATAAACGCTTTGTACTCTTCTTACATAGGGAAATCTCGACCCAAGACTAACCTTTGCCAGCCCTTAGTATTATAGTGAGTTAAAATTTCTCCATACACATACAGGCAGTCGATAGATCTGAATATGCAGATTACTTAAATCTCACAGCCGACTGAAGTGTATGGCGAAAAATCGACAGTTCAAATCGTACGTTCCCTTCTTTTGACAAGTTGGAAGTTTTGTACTATCAAGATGAGCGATTTAGGTAATAATACGACTTTTATAATAATAATAATAGCTCCCGTATATAGCGTTTGACGCCTTGGGAATTGTAAAGTACAGCTTGCCATGCTAGAGCCGTTCGGTATACAAGGAAGGTAATGTGGCTAGCACTACGCTTCAACCGCCTATTATTACCTAAGGATTGTGAATCCCAAGTACTCATTTAAGGCTGAGTCGACCTAGGTACCCAAACTATTTTTATTTTAATAAAAATAGTCGGCTGATGAAATGCCGGGTGTATAGGATTCGAACCCACTACCTCGAGATTGGTAGACGAGAGCCTGTACCTCTACGCCACCGGGCACCTATAATTTGACTTTATAAAAACCGATTATATTGATTTGTATAGGCAATTGAACTATCTGTGGAAAATTAAAAGTAAATTTTATAACAGACAGGAACAAACCAAAGCTTATGATTTTTTTTTTATTAAAACTGTTAATTATAGATACAAATGCTACTATTAATTCTGTAAAGAAAAAAATAAACAATTTGCAAAGTGCTTCCCGAATGGAACTTAAAAAAGCTTCAAATCAAAGCTTTCAGGTGAAGTTTTCTTGCATTTTTCTTTGATATTAAGGGCTTAACCATCTTTAAAAGTTCATTAAAACATGTCATTCATTCTGAGGTAGTTTTTAAGATCATCTGTTGCACTAGTTCTTAATTTTTGGACTAACTTCATATGAGGTAATGTATCAAGTTGTATAAACCAATCTTACACACAGAAACGCTTTTTTGTCTTTGTAATTGGCTCTTGAAATAACAAAAGCACGAGAAGTGCCGCTAGCTTTTTTTATTACTGACACTCCCAAAAATGAAGATCGTATTTCTCGACGTAACTGCATTTTGTGTGACAAAGTTTAGATCTTCAGTACAAATCGTACAGTCTTAATGAAGACATTATATTTGCCTAATTTGTTCAGCTTCTCTAGGCATTATTCGACCAGCTTCGAATTGATGATTACTGAGTTGATCACTTTTAATACTGCTTGACTCTCGCCTAAGATGACTATTTGTTGTTTCCGATAGTTCTTATCTAAGATAAGTTGTACGCATCTTTCAATAACGTACATTTCTGCCCGAAGGATGCTGTGGTAGGTGCCCATTGTTTCGTAATATTTAGTTTTCAGCCAAAATACTCCTATCCCTGTTCCTGCTTTAGTGTTGGAAGCATCAGTATACCACGTTATGGTATGGTCTTTTACCTGCTGAGCAAACCACAACAATAGAATATTTCTATATTCACTGATAAAGGAGATTCCGTATGATTTCAATCAAAATGGGACACCCTGTACACGAAGCCACCGATTCCTTCAGGTGTGGATAGAACAAGCTATCGAAGAACTCAAAACCCTGTTTTTAATTCCTTTTCAAACTTCTTATTGTTAAATATTACTAATTTTGATTGGTTTGACGGTTCGTGTTCAATTAATGAACAAACGTTGAGACAAGAAAATATTGGAAACTCATACTGAATTTCATAGAATATATATAACTTGCTAACAATGTTTCCTTAGGTATAGTATAATATTATTACCTGTATAATTGGCTTTATCCAGATAATCCTTAGGAGATATAATCTTGTTTTCCTTAGGCGCTGTTTTATCATTCAATTCCAAAACCTTTTGCAACCAAGGAGAGTGGTTCTTGCTACCGATGGAGTTCAGATTTTCCAGTTTTCTCCTCAAATCGTCTACGGATTTGGCAATGGCGGCGTTGGTCATGTAGCCTTGCCAAGGTCTGGCAGCCCATGTACAAGGTGTCTCGGTAACAGGAACCTTAGAGCCGTCAGGACAAAGGTAGGCGAACTGGGATGGGTCTTCGTTGGTCGGTTTGGCTGGTGTAATACCAACAGAAAGCTGAAGAAATGAAAATATTAATTGACTGGTAATATGAATTGGAAATTGGAATAGAAATACTGTACATGTTATAGAACTCAGAACGTTGTATTATACTGTTAAAATTTGACTTTCTATTAGTCTTAAAGATATATTTACTCTATTTTTCTGCAAAATAAATAGTAAAGTTAAAGAATATTTAATTTTTCAAATATAATTATCCAAAATTTTAATCTGTGTTACCTAATTTTAATTGTGTCTAGTAGCCCAATGAGAAAAAAATACTATTTGAAACAGACATTTTCGCTGCCACTGTATATTTGCTTACCCCGAAGAACTTTCTAACGAAAATCACTTTCGTCCAAGCGATTTGGCCTCCGTTGTGCGCCAAGCAGCGCAAGGCCCCGTCGTATCCAGAATACAAATCGGGATAATCGCAGATTTCTGGATGCTCGCAGAGGGCGCACAGGTTCGAATACTTCCTCTCTGGAAAAAAGAAAAAAGGTCAAAACAAATGTTAATTATTTTTGGGATGATTTTTAGGATGACGCAATAAAATAATTAAAAAGGCTACTAGAATATGTTGACTCGCCTGCCAAAGGTTAAACATCACAAAAATCATCACATTTGTATACATCAGTATATTCCAGTTCCATCTAGAGATTGAGCCTAGAATTGAGCCTAGAGCTCTAGAATTATCTCTTAATCTCTTTTAGTTATACTTTGAATAAGAAGACTAAGGAAGGAGCATAATGCTATCCATGTATTCATGCATGGCGGGCGGAAAAGCCACCATAAAAGCTCTCTAGGGTGGGGATCCTTGATAGTTCTGTTTGACGATTCATTTGACACCTTTGAATTTGATTTGAAATTTTGTGGATTTGTCAGTCTTTACGAAGCTTATTTTATGTTATTTATTATTTATTCTACTACTGATAGTTGTATAAAGGTAGTAAATCTAGATGGAAATTGTGGCAGAACTTAAATTAACAGTGACACTATCGCGATTTATCGAAAAAGACTCTAAAATAGTTGGTTGTGTAGCGTGCGGTAGATCTCGGCAAAAATCGAGTGAAATAATGGAACAACGTTTCGCTAGTAAGTGACTATATAATATACATACGTGTAGTAAACCGATCATTTATGAAATTCACTTAAATTAACTAATTATATATTTTTCTTGCATTTTAGCTTTTATTTATTACTTGTCAAAGATTAGATGTCAAAGAATTTAGATAGTACGTTAATTTGACTTACCTGCTTCAGTAGCGTATCGGATGTTTGTGTTAATAAATACTTATTATAACTTATCTATTTTTATTAGAATTATATATTTTTATTACGATTTTAATAACTACCAACATTTATTCACAACGTAAAATAACACAACAAATTATTGAGTCTACCCCACGTCTACCCTACATCATAGTTTTACATTTTTTAAATAAAATTAGAACGACACTGATAAACCGGAATTTAAGTCGGCCATATTTGAGGCCCATCGCGGTGTACCTAAGATTTTTGATATGCTCCTTCCTTAGTCTTCTTATTCAAAGTAGTTATATTATCGCTTCCACCCCAAATATTTCATGTAGCAAAATAAAACACTAAATCACTAAAATAAACCGAAACACTTTAAACGTAAAAAAGTAAAAGTGTTTTGGTGTATTGTCGTGATTTAGCATTTTATTTTGTTGTTGTAACACCAAAGGTTCCAACCCCCAACTGTAATCATATTTCTTGTACATAAATATTTCTTCTTTTTCTGTACAAACGAGTGGGAGTAGCGAAAGAAACAGAATAACAATTTTTTAACACATTGTGACAAAAAACGAATATTTGTTAGATTTTGAGTTTGGTGTGTAATAAAGAGGACTTTTTCAATGCGTGAGAGAAAAGAGGGTATAGTAAAGAGGACAGTGAGATCAAAAAGAGAACTGTCCTCTGGAGGAGGGTTGGCAATCCTAGGGTAATTACCCCATTACCCCTCTCGTATATGCGCCTTGGATATCCTCATATGGTTTTTAGGAGAAGATATTTTTTATCATTAACTTTTTGAGAAAAATTCATCATTTATAAAAGTTTTTGCGTGTTCTAAAATGGCGAATTCTGTTTATACTTTTTAAAATTTCATTGCCGTTTCAAAGAAAAATATGACAATTATACAAATAATTTTTTTTATAAGGTCAAAAAAACAAAACGCGTCTCCACTAGTAGTGGGAACTATCGAATGAATACTATCGAAACATTCGATAATTGCAATTCATTCGAATAATTCGATAGTTAGTAAAAAAACATTCGTTGAAAACTATTCGAATAAAAATTATCGAATAGATCCGTCATCTGCCTTGAAATATTGTATTCTAGTAATTCGGCAGCAAAAACCATTCATTTATAAAATTCATTCATTTATGAAATTCATTTATTCGTCAGGATCGATTATAATAAAATATTAACTGAATTTTAGTTGTCGCCCGACGTTATAGGTTTCTTTCCGAGAAACCCGACAGCGGTCGGTGGCAATGCTATGAAAGAAGCCGGCATCTTTGATTTTTTGCGGAGTTATAAAGATAAGGACACATTATTTTTTTATTGAGGTGCTAGTATTTACACAGAAAATACATTATGAAGGGCGCTGTTGCCATATTTTGGTATTAGTTGATATTAGCAAAGAATATTATTGTTTGGCTTTAGTTAGTTAGGGATAGTATGTCTATATATTCTGCATTCTTTTTTATTAATACTCTGTTGTTACACTGCAATAATACTTGTTATTTTGGATGTAGGAAAATGATTTTTAATGTTTTTAAGCAAAGACTGGTTTAATAAATAATAATAACAGTAATAATTTGTTATATCTATTAACAAAACAAAATTTAAAATCATTTAATATAAATATTTTTTTTAAGTAGTAGCAAAATATAATCAACAAATTAGATGTCAAAATTATTTATATTAGATCCTATTTAAAAATAATATAGTCTCTAAATTTTTTGTGTGTGGCAACGTTGGTTTATTAAATAATAATAATTACAGAACTAATTTGTTATATTAACAACAAATTTTAAAATCATGAAATATAAACATTTATTAATTTTCTAAGCATGCAGTGTAATGGAAGGAAAATATAAATAAAAAATTAGAAATCAAAATTATTTATATTAGGTGCTTTATATTACTATTTACTTTTACTGGCATTTACTTTAAAAAATAAATGAAATATTTCTTCGCAAAAAACTACATGTAAGAGAATTAGCATAAACAAAATACAAACATCGTTAACTTTTTTTTAAATTGGCACGTGTAAAACTTTCATTTTAATTTTCTCACCCCATAGTTTGAGTTCGATAACCCCATTTACTTAACCACATTACTTAAATATGATTATTAAGTTCGACTAATTCATATTATTAAAACATCTAAAATACAAATATGTATTTTTTAAAATTAATTGTAAGTTCATCTCATCTCTCTTAAAAATTGCTACTTCTCAAAATTTCCCATTAAAAAATAGACCATATACCATATAAAATTAAATAATTGAAAGATCGGACTACGGAAAACCACACAAATTTTCGGAAAAATTTTGACCACCTGCACATGCACACAATTGTCAATAAATAAAATTAAAAAATAACTACTATTTTAGTATTTTAACTATTTTAATAAACACAAAAATAGCACAGTATTTATACAGCGAAGTTATAAAATTTTGGAAGAACTAATAATGCACTGACGCATACAAAAATCAAACGAATACTAAATTTCATTAATTTATCAAAAGCATTCGATAGTCGTGGCTCAACGATAACCATTTAGTCGCACGGCGAGGTTGTCACATATGCTTTAGTATACAAATGAATGATTGATTTTATTCGAATAAAACCATTCGATAATTGAAATCATTCATTCATTAACCATTCGATAGTCTAATTCATTCGATAGTTCCCATCGCTAGTCTCCACGGTAAAATCCATTCGTTTTCATTATTACAAAGAATTAATTATGGTGCGGTGTTTATTATGATGTTATGACGATCTCCATAAGACAAGACTATATTTTGTAGAAAATACTGATAATGAGTATAATCTATCAAATAACAACGAATAATTATTTAATTAATAATAAAGAAAAACAACAAAAACCTATTCGATTCTTTCTCTTTATTTCACCCTTTATTTCAATTATTATGATATTGTTCGTTCTTTTTTAAGTCTTCAACGACATAGTATGTAGCAGTGAACTAAATAACTTTTTTGCTCCTTAAAACAGCTTAAAAATATGACGCAAATCAAAATTAATAATAATAATAATTTCTTTTAAGAATGAAAACGATATTTCCATAGAAACGCATTTTGATTTTTAGAGCTTAGAAATTATTCAACCGTTTTTTATTTTAATTTTTAAAGTAATTAATTGATTGTTTGTCTAAAAACCATGTTATATGTCAGTTTGTTTTTTTAGTACTTGTAATAATACGATTAAGTAATTATAAGGAACTAGCGTGTACCAGCGACTTCGTTCGCGTCGAATTAATCATTTGTAATGGTGATGATAAAGCAAAGCAAGAATTTCCATTAACATACGAACTGGATAAAATTTTCTCACATTTATGTCAGCATGAGAAAAAACAATATGGCGATATTATTATATAACTTGGTAATATTTGAGGGGTAGTTTCATCTCGGTGAAATTTGACTTTCGAAAAATCCGTTTGCCAAAAATAAGCTTTTTACGTCAAGCAGTTTAAGCAGAATCGTGGTTAAGAAATTACCCAACTTTTTGGTACACCCTGTATAATTTTTTAAAAAAATTCAAAGTGTGTAAAAAAATCATATAAATTATGCTTGTCCAAGCGTTTTCCCGAAAGACTAACCGTTTTTTAAATAACAAATATTGTAATATTTGAGGGGCGTTTTCACCCTCTTGGAATTTGAGATTCGAGAAACCCCTCCTTATCGAACCTCTACACCCCACAGTCAATCCGTTTGCCAAAAATCAGCTTTAAACGTCAAGCAGTTTAAGCAGAATAATGATTACTCAATGGTCATATTTTATGAAACACCCTGTATAAATTTATAAAAAATCTTGAAATATGTAAAACAACAAAATAAAATATACGCGTTTAAGAGTTTTCCGAAAAACTCACCGGTTTTTAAATAAAAAATATTTTAATATTTGAGGGATAGTTTCACCCCCTTAGAATTCGAGTTTCGAAAAATCCCTTCTTATCGAACCTCTACACCCTAAAGTCAATCTGTTTTCCAAAAATCAGCTTTTTACGTCAAGCGCTTTAAGCAGGATCGTGATTAATCAATTACCAAATTTTTCAAAACACCCTGTATACATTTTTAAAAAATCCTAAAATATGTAAAAAAACAAAATAAAATATATGTGCTTAAGCGTTTTTTCGGAAACTTGACCGTTTTTTAAATAAAAAATATTGTAATATTTGAGGGGTGGTTTCACCCTCTTGGAACTGGAAATTCGAAAAATCCCTTCTTATCGAACCTCTACACCCTAGAATCATCAACCTGTATGCCAAAATTGAGCTTCTTACGTTGAGTGGTTTGAGCAGGATCGTGATTAATCAGTATGTCAGTCACTTAAGGATTTTATATATTAGTATAGATTATTAAATAAGAAAATGAACAAATGTTCACTTTAAAAAAAACCTTTTGCAAACCAACGGATTCGACACACCATCATCTGTCAACTTTCTAAATTTAAATACAGGCCTAGATTTTTATTTCTATATTTAATATAATACAACCAAACACGGTGGGTTTATCTTTTTAGTTTAGGAGTTCATTGAAGAGATTCTTGCAAAAAGGAATTACTGACCTGAATTACTACTAGGTACTTAACAAAGAAAGGGACTTACTGACGAATATCAAAAAACGAAAGACTGCATACTTGGGCCATGTCATGCCGAATAGTAGAGCAAAGCTGCTGAAGTTAATCATTGAAGGGAAAATAGAAGGCAGAAGAGGACTTGGGAGACGCAAGCAGTCATCATCATCATCATCATCACGCAGCCCCCTTTCACGTCCATAGTTGAACATAGGCCTCCTCCAAACGTCTCCAGTTCTCGCGGTTTTTAGCTGTTGCAATCAGTTGTTATTCGTTTCAGGTTGTCGGTCCATCGGGTGGGAGGTCTGCCTTGGCTACGCTTGTCGGCTCTTGGTCTCCACTCTATATGTCTTTTGGTCCATCTCCCGTCTGCCATTCTAGCAATGTGTCCAGCCCATCTCCACTTTTGTTTTGTGATTCGCTGGATAATGTCATCCACTCCCGTACGTCGGCGTATCTCTTCATTTCTTACTCGATCTCTCAAAGTCAAGCCAATCATAGATCTCTCCATCCGCCTCTGTGTCACTCTCAATTTTTCTGCGGTTGCTTTTGTTAGAGTGAGTGTCTCTGCGCCATAGGTCAAAACCGGGAGGAAACATTGGTTAAATGCCTTTCTTTTCAGGTGTATTGGGATAAGATGTCCCTCATTTTTCCGTAAGCCGCCCATCTCAAGGTAATTCGTCTAGCCAGTTCACAGGTTTGGTTATCTCTGCTTATTTTAATCCCATGGCCCAAGTATACATATTTGTGGACTAATTCTATTCTGTTGTTGTGAATTTGTATGTGTTCGCTGGGCACCATATTAGTCATTATCTTAGTCTTGTCAAAATTTATTGTTAGTCCAATCTCGTGTAATGCATCCACGGATTGATGTCTGAAGAAATCAACGCATGCAGTATTGGTTAAAAAACATATGAGATTGGACTGGTCTAAACTCACACGCAGTGTTTCAAGCTGCACAGGACGACAGGACAGACAATGTTTCACCGAGATTGTTGCCAACCTTCATTGAAGATGGCACCATAAGAAGAATGGCCATCTTCTGACTCTATATTCAGACCAGCTTTGTGATACCATAGTTTAAAGAAGTTTGCTTATACTATGATGATACCATAAATACTGCATTGTTACCGAAGATAAGCAAAAATAACAAATTTCATTCAAATAAAACGTGTTGATTAGTGATACTATAATATAGTAATATATGTATTACTGTATACCACTATATAATTCATTGTAAAGAAACAGTAAATATGACTAGCTGGAAATTAATAAGCTGTGGTTAAAAGATACCTAAGGTAGAGTATTTATTTCCCATTAACCAAAATACTAATTACAACATCACTTACTCAATTTCAGGTTGATTTTGGGATCAGGCGACCACTTGCCCACAATGCACGCCTTGCTGAACAGCTTGGAGAAGGCTTTGAGCTCGTTCTCCCTGGGCGAGAGCTCGGGCTCGGCCAGATTGCCGATGATGCCCTTCTGTTTGAGCTTGGTGAGGGGGATCTTGTAGCCCACGTTGCGGCCCACGCCCGTGTGGCACGAATTGAGCCCTTTGAGACCTTCGATGCTGTCGATGGCGAGGTCTTTGTGAATGACGGCCACGGCTTCGTAACGGAACTCGGCTGGAAAGATATAAAGCAGAATGAATTTTCGAAAAAAATATAGAAAGTATTATTAAAAGATGGGAATATCGCATTAATATACCGGGTGCGTCTCAGAAGTGGCTCATCCCTGTAACTTTTTTATTTTTTGGATAAAATAAAACAATATTTAGTATGATAGTATATGACAAAAATTAGAATTGATTGAGGTATTCAATTGTTTTTAGTCGCTTCCCGTTTCACCGAAAATGACTACAATTTTTGATTTTTAAGTAGCACCCTCGGTATTTTTTTTACTTAGTTCGATAGAAAATGGCACTCTGAATAGAATGATATGAAATAAAAAAACAATGAAACAGGAAGTGATCAAAAACAATTGAATACGCCAATCAATCCTAATTTATGTTATATTCTATCATACCAAATCTCGTTTAGTTATTTGAAAAAATAAAAATGTTATTCTATCTATTCTTATTCTATTCTATATGGTGAGCCACTTTCGAGGCGCACCCGGTATTTAGTTTTAATCCTTTTAGAAGTGTGGTCTGGACCACATGGTGAGCCACTTTGGAGAGGCACCCGGTATTTAGTGTAGTCCTTTTAGAAGTGTGATATAAGCAGCTTAATGGAAAATCAAATGTATTAAAAAGAGGTAAAAGTTGTGTTGATACATTTATTCTATGCGGTATTGCCGGATTTTGCATCAAAAGTTCAAACCGCGCCATAAGTAGGCGTTTATGGAAAATTGCATCTAGAGTTGGAACCTTATTTTTCAAAATTAGTTACTCGCTTTTCACAATTAGTTACAGATATAATAGATTATATAATTATATTTAGCTTAGATATATTATCTTCATTTCAGTAATATACATGAATTTTTTTTAAATAGTTTTTTTTTCTACACAAATTTTCCTACAAACTTAAAATCCGGCAACATGCCGCTTTTGATTTTGTCTCTCTGTCTGTCAACCGGTCAATTATATTGTTCTCTGTCTTACACGTTAAAATCCAGACCACACTTCTAAAATGACCTAATCGGTATAATGTTGGAACTTTTAGCGTTTACAGCAGTATAAAAAACCACAAAATACTATTAGTTTAAGCCAAAATAAATAGAAAACAAAAATATAACATTAAAAATAACAGAATACAAGGACTCGTAACGGCCATCTACGGGCTGGAACAAAATTTTTTATATTAGACGCCATTTTTTTGGAGACTACGGATGTGTCACCAGCGACAATTTTACCGATTATTAAGAGTTTGTTGTGTGTAGTGAACTTTGCATAAACTTTATTATAATGATGATTTGTCCAGCTTTCAAGTGTAAAACCCGCAACGATAACAAAGAGCCAGGAATTGCATTTAAAATAGTTAATTTTCTGTATTCAACCTTTTTAGCGTTTTCTTATTTAATTTCATAATTATTTTTCTGATATTATATTATGATATGTCCTAATATATAGTCCATACATTTTGTACCTTTTATGAACGCGCTTTTAATGCGCTTTTCACGATAAAGAAGCATTATCCACCCTAGGCGTAGGCGAAAAATTTCTCAAATATTCAAATAAATAAAGACTAATAAATCTACTAAGCTTAACAGTAAGTATTAAATTAAATTTTGTAACCGTCCAAAAAAGAAACATTTGTGAATCAATTAAAATTCCAATTTTTATTTAATTCTGAATTTCTTATTAACCTCTGCCAGAGGCTTTGATTGGAGACAAATGGTAACAATTTGGTCTCGTATGTTATTGGGCCGGCCTTGTATTCTTTAGTCATTTGTTCAGACTTTGGACGCACGTTTCACAAAGTATCATCAGCATATTATTAAAAAACCTAAACTATTATTCACAAAGTAAGTGTTTATATAAACACTTGAAAAACTTTTTCATTGTCACAGAGCATGCCAAACTCACCAGTAATGATGAGCAAATGCAAGATAAAGACCAAGACTCCCTTGATCTTGGTCTTGCTTTTGTGCAAGACCAACACCAGTTTTGCTTATCCATTAATCACTAGTCAATGATGACGGGCCGCTCAAACAGGAATAACAACGAATAATAACGCCGAGTAAAAAATAACGTTATTTATTTATTTATATCACATATTACCTTCAGGTTCCTCTCTGGTGCGAATTTCTTCGAAAATAGCAAAATCTTCACCGGGTTCCCTGGCAGCTACGTACATATCTTCAGGATCTACAGTTCCAAAATCTGCCTCGCGTTGTTTTATCTTCGATATACATTCAATTCTATAAACAATACCAATAGATGTAAATCAAGAATAAGTATCAGTAACTTGTTGGAAATATTAAAAAACAGTTAAAAACAAAGATATGAAAACATGGGTGTTTTGACATCTTTGGTTAAACATATCTGTAGTAATAAATAAGGTCGTTAAGTTGGAAAATCACAGATACAAATAATTTCTCAGCGACTTTTTAATTGATATTGAGTATTGAAAAAATTATAATACAGAGATGTTAATTGTAACTAAATAAAGATATACTTATCTATTTTTACATTTATTAGATAGTCGTATTAATTAAAAAAATATATGTTTAATTTCATTTGCTTTAGTTTTTTTTTAAACCCTGTTTTTTAATCTTAAAGAGGCAAATTTGTATTCAGATAAACTACTTAATTTTTTAGGGAATTTAAGATAAAAGATTTTTTGAGAAATAAAGAACCATGATTATTGACTTGTTTACGTAGTTCTTGGTTTGATGTAATCGCTAAAGAACAATCTTACCTGTCTCTGGCAGGTATACAAATAATTCTCGCTCCACTCTTTGTGTCCTGGCTGGCCATTTGTCTACAAAGCTCCAACAACTCTTCAGCAATACACATTTTGTCTGAAAAACAAATTAATTTCGCATATTTATATTGTATTTTGATACACCACATGTATATATGTGTTCACTTTCAATAATTTTAACCTTCTTTGTGCGAACAAATACTAGAAATTTGTTCTCTGATCAATCATACTTTGTAGTGTGACAAATAAACAATTTTATGGGATAATTCAATCAAAAAATTGTAACAGGCAGAGTTAAAGCCTACTGGTTTAGAAACAAGCCTCAATTTGGTTTGGCAGGGTTTGGTAACAAATATATACAGGGTGAGTTTCCTACGATGTTCTCTATGGGTATCTCGGAAACTACTGGAGATAGAGAGTCGGTTAAATGGGGAAAGAATTGCAGTTTTGTGGGGTCATAAATATGCGCCTTTCAGATTTTTGAAAAAGTTCATGGCTTACTAGATATTTCGAAAAACAAATTTCGGCTATTTTAAAAATTGTCCGTAATTCCATTATAAGCTGTTTTAGACAAAAAAATTTCAGATAAAAGTTGTAGATAATCACATCCTTAATAAGACTGTATTCTCTGTTTTTTTCTAAAGCCTGTTATTTTTGACATATGACACAAACATAGGTTTTTTTAAATAGAAACCATAGTTGGCCATGACTTCATAAAAAGCGCCATTTTTTAAGCTTTTTAGTGATGTAAGCTATAATATCTTTATAGCCAATTCTTATCATTTTTAAACAATTTCACTTAGTTAGCCATGGAAACAAGTTCAATCGCCGCGCCGTTGCTCTCAGAAATGTGAAGCTGTCACATCCAAACTTTGTAAATTAAAATAAACAAAAATTGTAAATATGAATTTTTCACATGAAGAAAAGCGTGTAGATACTCGCGCATCAATAAAGTGGTTCCAACATGACTTTCATTATGACACACCACCCCCCACCCCCCATAATGAAAGAAATGTTAAAAATTATTTATGTCTTAATTATACAAACGCAGGGATAGGAAGAGGTGGACTTAATTATACAAACGCCGGGATAGGAAGATGGGCCTCTCCGATCACCTAACCTATCCATTTTAGAATTTTTATGCGGTATAGTTAACAATAAGGTTTACAAAAGAACTTATGAATTAAGAGAGGCACTCGAAGTGGCGGTACGAGAAAAGTTTAATTAGTCGACCGGGTCCTTCAGTGAGAATAGGTAGTAATTCAGTTTTAAAAAGATGATTTTCTAAAATAACTTAAAGTGTATGTAGTGATATTATTTTCTTAAGTATTAGTTTGTGTAGTGTAAATTGTAAAGAACCGTTTAGTAATATATTCTGACTGTATATAAGTTATAAATCATAACAGAATAAGAATACCATGCAATCTAAGTGAAATAAGTCAAGAAAGATAAAAATTGGCTATAACTAAATTTAACTTTTCTAACATGTCTTAAAAACCGTTTTCTAAAAAACGTAACATTCACCGGTCAACGTCTCCTCGAAAATGTATGGTCAAGAAAAGTTGAACCAATAATCTTACACGCTTTCCTTCATTTGAAAAATTCATATTTACAATTTTTGTTTGTTTTAATTTACAAAGTTTGGATGTGACAGTTTCACATTTATGAGAGGAAAGGCAATTAAATTTGTTTCCATGGCTAACTAAGTGAAATTGTTTAAAAATTATAAGAATTATTGGCTATAACTCAATTTTTCGAAGAAAACATATTATATCTTATATCGCTGAAAAACTTAAAAAATGGCGCTTTTTATGAAGTCATGGCCAACTATGGTTTCCATTTAAAAAAACATATATTTGTGTCATATGTCAAAAATGACAGGCTTTACAAAAAAAACGGAGGATACAGTCTCATTAAGGATGTGATTATCTACAACTTTTATCTGAAAACTTTTTGTCTAAAATAGCTTATAATGGAATTAGGGACAATTTTTAAAATAACCAAAATTAGTTTTTTTTGGAAATATCTAGTAAGCCATGAACTTTTTGAAAAATCTGAAAAGCGCATATTTATGACCCCACAAAACTGCAATTCTTTCCGCATTTAACCGACTCTCTATCTCCAGTAGTTTCCGAGATACCCATAGAGAACATCGTAGGAAACTCACCCTGTATAGAAGAACAAATGTATAGTAAGATAAACCAATTGCAAATAATGTCTGTAACTTTGGGTGGCCAAAAAAATTCCGAGTATTTCGCCACCAAATAGAAATCTAGAAAATAAGAACCTTGCCACTTTTTTTCTCATGCCTAAAAACCTTCTTAAAATCTAAATGTTGAACAAGAAACAAATTTGATTAACATTCAGTTGTGTATTCTTTAGTGTAATCTTTAAAAATGTGATATGCAAAATACCATGCAAATGTGAGAAATTTTATATTGGCAAAATATCTATGTTCTAATGAGGAACATACAGATTATTTAAATACGAGAAATTTTAGCTAGTTTAAAATTTGTCAAACTGTAGACTTGTAACAAAATGTAAACACTTTGAGCACCTTATAAAATAAGACAGTATTTTTTTTTTAATTTCATTAATACTTAACTGTTCTTTTTTCAGATACATAGATTTTGAAAACTATACCTAGAAATTGTTTAAGTAATATTTTCAAAACTCAATAACTCGGAAACTGTTGAATTTCGATACATTCTGTGTATTACAGTTTTTACTTAGAATTGAAGGAAGAATTGAAATATCTAATAATATACAGGGGCTTCCATTTAAAAGAATGCAACTTCGATGTGTTACGATTTTATGACCGACTCTGTATATTTAAATTTATTACTAGCTTATAGGCATTTAAAAACCCTAAAACTTTTCTATCTAAAATATTTTGTATCTAAAATTTTTTGTAGTACCTCATATATTTTACCCAATAATCGAGCCTTTCCAACAGTGGTAGACTAAGCCTGTCGGGGGCCCGGGGCGGCGAAGCTAAATGTGGCCCCGGTCTGTTTAGATAATGATATGCTTCTAATGAACATTTTGTAAAAATTGAATGACGTATGTATAATGGTTGACACAATTCAAGTATTTATACAGGATGTCCCAGGCTGAACCTGTGTTAGAAGTTTGTAGAGAACTACAATATCTAGATACGAGATTTTGTGCATATCATTGTTTCACAATGAGATCTATCGAAAAAAAAATATTTTCAATATGGCGGTACTTTCGGAAGTACCGGAAGTTGACAGCAACTTTCTTATTTTAAATGGGTGACCCCATTTATTTTACATACTTAAATTCTCTGTAAAATTTTATGAATTTTGATATTAAACACTCTATACCTAACGTTAATCGTTTTAGAGAAAAAAAAATATTTATAATTTTTGGAGGAAAAAAACTGCCTGTCAAAAATATGTATATAGCCTAAACGTCAAATTTAGTGATCGCCACAGCCACTGTACCATAAAGAGAAGACATGTGGCTATCTATGTCAAAAATTAAATTGTCCGAATGTCATATAATAATGGCCGCAGCTGTCATGGAATTGAGCGATTAAAAAATTATCATAAATCATTTTTTTTTCAAATGGAAATCAACTTTTTTTATTTCACTCGTGAAGAGGCTTTCGTTACTTTCGTTTTTAAAATTTGTTACTTTTTTTTAATGTCATTGACAATTACTAGGGCCCTCGCTGGGGCCTGATTGATAATTAAGTAAATATCTGCTTCCATTTATACTGTTTATAGTTGGCGTATACGTATGGTTTGCATACTCCACCTACAAACTGCTTTATAACTACTGAAGACATTGGCCTTGTTTGCCAGTTCAATAAAAAATGTAATAAGTCATTTTTTTCAGATTCAGAGGCCCCCTAAAAGACGGGGCCCGGGGCGGACCGCCCCTTCCGCCCCCCCCCTTAGTCCGCCGCTGCTTTCCAAACATATCAGCGACCATAAGACAAATCACAGATACAGCAAGTCTTTGGGACAAATACATTTTTAAAGAGCTTTTGTTTAAAGAAAGGCTTATTCTAATTAATTTCTTTAACTATTTTGCTTTTCTCAATACCTACTTACTTTACTTCCTACAACCTACAACAAAAATACTCAGCACCAACATACGAGTATAAAAATATACATCAAGTGCTTCAATTAGTAACAAATTTATTCACATTTGTACAACTGATATTATCTTATTTTTATACAAGTGGTATTTTTATTTTGATACAAATTAGCGATGTATATTTTGATACAAAATAAGAATATAAATAATTTGTTTTTAAGGTAATTTTATAGAGGATTCCTATAGAGAGAAAAATATAGCTTTTCTTATAGAAATAAATCTCTTCTTTCGATTTACCTACATGTCAATTTATATTATCTATATTTGGTTTAGGAACCCTTTATATGAAAATAGAGACTAATTCACGTTACATTTTAAATATTGAGTTTCTAGAAATAGATTTTATTTCTGTTGTGAAATCTTAGTGATCAAATTATTTTTAATTATAATTTAATAAAAAAATTAAAAAAGGTAATATTTTCAGATGCTTTAACTGTAAACATTATTTATCTGCTATTCAAAGATATACTACAGGGTGAGTCTTAAATAAGTACAAATATTTTTAGGGGTAGTATATTTCAACCCCAGAAACACGATTATGACGTACCTATTATTGGCGAAAATTTGATTTTTTTTAGTTTTTAGTTAAAAATAAAATTTCTTGATAATATGGCGATATAAGTAGTAGATTAAATTTACAAGAAAGAAAACGGAGAAAAGATCCAGTGGTTCTCAAAATTTAAGCAAAAAATCATTTTTTTTTTGAAAATTTTCAAAGTAAAATAACTCGGTTATTTTGGACTTATTTTAAAAATACTATAGAGAAAATATGTTTCTTTTACGGAGATCTATCAGCCCTGAAAATATTTGCAATTATTTAAGACTCATCCTGTATAGTTTCAAACTTATTGATATATCAAAAAATAAATTTTATCTGGCAGAATTATCTTAATGTCTTTATGAAAAAAATATACATTTTTGAGTGTGTCACTATAATCTGTCCAACGGGAAAATACCTAGCAGTGACAATTATTATTTTAGTTCACAGGTAAATTAAACTTTTTGTCATTCTTTGGTCTCCTAGTACAAATTTTTACCGCTGTTCCAATGGTATACCTCAAGTTTGAATATAAGTACAAATTGAATATTAATTATTAATTATCCAAAACAGATAATTTCTTATAAAAAAAATAATTTGTGTTATTTTTTGTTTATTTTATAATTTATTCAAAGTGTATAAATCTAGAAAAAAAAAAATAGTTTGAAGCATACTAAGCATTTTTCGTCGATTACGATTTTTATTACCAGTAAAAAACCACTGACAAGCTAGTGTCCATTGTCTATGATTTATCTAAAAACCAAACTTTTCCTAAGATATGAACAGGCTACAGAGTTATAAACATTATTTATAAAAACTTTTGTTCGGAACTGGAACATGAAGAAATTTAGACTGTAAATATTAAATTATTTAATCTTTCTTCTTCACATAACTTTATTACAATTTTTATACTTCTTTGTTTCTTTTAATATTTGTTAGACTTACATTCATTGTGAGCGTTTCTTCTGTACCGCAGGATTCTCCCTTCAACGGTGAAGAAAACGAGAAGAAAGGTTACCAGAAGAACTGGCTTCATGTTGAAAACGTTTACAAACATACAATACACCGGCACCAACCGAAAGCTACACTGATCTTCTCTTGTGGCCGGCGGTTGTTTATAAATAATCCCCGTCAACACAACAGAGCATTGTTGTTAAGCTTATTTGCATATACAGGATGATATACATTTAGTAAGAAAAGATAGTTTGGTTGTAGAACTGAACATTGAAATTTTATTTTGTTTATGGCATATGGAGTATTCTATATTATTTCCAAACGCACTTTGGGTATGTTGCTAACAATATAAATCCGCAATTCAAGCAAATATCCAGCTCTTGAAAAAGTAATGTTTAATTACTTTATGATTAAGCAACAAAAATAAAGCACTAATCGTGTATTTGAATAGGTCCAAAGCATTTAAGAGCAATAACCACGAAATACGTTTACCAGAAACTTGGCTTAATTCAAATTAACAGTGCAAGTTCTAAGGGACCAACCCCATAGGGAACTACAGGAGAGGCAGCTGACACCTGCGCGAGACCACCCTCCACAAGCGGGTGGTCTCCAATAATAAGGGTCGGGAGCACGATATACTCACAACTTGTGAGTGTATCGTGGTCGGGAGCCTACCTCTAGACCCAACAGGCTACACAATCTACCGTTCTCGGCTTCTACTTGGCCTGGATCAACCAGGCGCTAGACGAGTAGATACGATACCTCCGACTGATCCACGAAGGATTTGCTCCAGAGGAAACAAAAGCGAAAACACTCCTCAAAAAAGGGGAGAGTAAAGGAACCAAGAAAATCGAGAGGCAACACCGAGAGGCAACTAGGACGTATCACCAGCTTTGTCAGAACTCCAATGTAACGACATCGAGTTGGCGAGTCATCAACTCGAGGGAAGAGGACCATGATCAGGTCCTCATAATATGAATTGACCTCAAATCAAAGAAGACAATAGGGAAAGAGAAATATATCCTGTATTATAGATTCGGTCAAACATCGGTATCAAGTCTAAGGAGAGACCAAGTTAAAAAAGAGATGGAGAAAATGGAGACAGACTCCAGCCTCCACCTCACGGGTACAGCCGGAGACAAGCTCCTCGACTGTGAAGGGCACGGAGGGCCAAACCCCAACCGTGGAAGGGTATATTAGGTACCGTCGTAGGAGGTAGATCCACTCCTCGGAGAAAGAACATCTGATGATGAGAGGAGTTGACCTTAAAATGATTTCGTCATGCGCCTTTGCATTTAATGCGATCAGCTTTTCAATATTTTTCAACGTTGAAGGAAAAGCTTATTTTTCTATGATTGGGAAAAAGCAATAAAAAGTATCAAAATACTTCTTTGTGTCCATAGTTTTTTCGATAGTTTCGAAATAAAACTTTGGTAAACTTATCATTCTTTAATAATGAATCGTCCTGTATACTCATGTACATATAAACGATCTTCAAGGTACCAACTAAACCAAGAAAGAAACCAGCTGAGAAAGACTATCGTTCGTTTAGCATTAAAGTAAAATAATTATGGCAGATTAATTTCTATTATTAGCTTCAGCTCGTTGTTTGTTTTGTTCCTTTAATGGGTCGTCTACTCTACCAGACAGGTACTCTCAGCCTTTATTGGTTGAAATGTATAATATTATAATTAAGAAAAAATAGGGGATTTAGGTTTTTAAATGAGAAGAAATAATAATATGTATTGGAAAAATTATAATGTAAATCTTTAAAGGGGTATAAAAACAAACCCACAAACAGAAATTCGAGTAATAGGTAACTTTTAATTAAAGAAAATACAGGGTTTAGCAAAAACTTAAGAATTTTGTTTAAGTGCAAACCTAAAGTATGTACGAGGATGTATTTCAGCTGTGTTTCAGGAAAATATTTTAACTCCTAATAGGGTGGCTCAAAAAAGTGTCAGTGGCATTTGGATAATTTTTTTAAATGGAACACCCTGTATATTATTGCATTTTTGGCTTAGTTTCAGATAACTTTGCATTTTCCTAAGATATGAGTAAATATATTTAGATAGTTTCAGAGATATTAATAAATAAATAAAAAAAAATATATTTTTCAGCCTTCTTAAAAAAAAATCTTAAAAATACTGTCCTGAAATCAAAATTATAATAGGTATTTACTTTGGATGGTCTGCACTTACTTTGCGATAAATATAGTAATCGTAAATCATACAGGATGCTCAAAATTATACGCCAAACTTTCTAAAATATAAAATAATTTTCTTCGTTTTTTCAAATGAACACCCTGTATATTATTTTTCAGTAGATGGAGAAAATTAACATTTTTTGTATTTAGAATATTTCAAAATTTTTAATGGTTTCGCAGATATTCGCGGTTTTATATTTCATAGGGCATTTTCCACAGTAAAGTTTTATCAAAGCCACCCAATGTGTGCCACCCAATTCTCTCGTGTTGAGAGAGCCATATGAAATAATACTGCGTGTATCTGCAAAAAAATTAAAAATTTTTAAATACTTTAAATACAAAAAATGTTTATTTTTTAATTTTACATCTGATAAAAAAATAATAAACAGTTCCATTTGAAAAAATGAAGAAACATATTTTATATTTTAGAAAGTTTGGCGTAGAACATCCTGTATGATTTAAGATTGCGATATTTATAGCAAAGTAAGTATAGACCATCTAAAGTAAATGCCTAATATAGTTTTGATTTTGGGACAGTTATTGTACCGTATGATCGAGAAAAAACGGCGTCAGCGATGGCTATGAAATGAAGATCGCTGTTATTTTATATGTAAATTTATATGGGAAATGTAATCGATCGTCATTTCCCAGCCATCTGGTCGCCGTTTTTTTTTTCGATCATACGGTATTTATAATATTTTTTTTTAGTGAAGGTTGAAACATATATAAGTATTTTTAATTTATTTATTAATATCTCTAAAACTATCGAAATATATTTAATCATATCTTAGGATTATGTAAAGTGATCAGAAAGGAAACCAAAAATGCAATAATATACAGGGGGTTCCATTTAAAAAAAATCATCCCGATACACACACTTTTTTGAGCAACCTATATATGTTGAAATATTTTCCTGAAATACATCCTCATACATACTTTAATTTTGTTTATACATAAACAAAATTCCCAAGTTTTTTATTTTAGGAGCTACTGATGCACTATTGCCGGACCCTGTACATACACTGGCAATTTTCTTTTGCTAAATGTACAGGACACTTTATCTCATAAATATCTGTAAGTAAAACCACAGATTAGGTATCCTATAAGTATACAGATAAAAATCTTGTCCCTAATTCGTGGTAAGAAAATTGTTTTTAACGACGATGTGCAAACGAGTCAAATTTCCTGTGCGCAAAAATAAACTCGCGTAAAATAACAATAAACAGCGTAATAGAGAGATATCGCTAAACCGATAGCGTGCATGGACGTTAATAAGGCCAGGTGTTATTTCCTTTACGTGAGGTGGTATTAACTCAAGAACGGTTGCTTGGTATTAACTCTCTTCATTTATAGTTATCGGATCTGAAAGAATTCTGATCGCGTCGCGTCCGCTATTTATAAACTTAACCTAACTGAATTTAAAACTTTGAAATTGTTTTGTTTAGTAAGTATTTTAAAACTAAAGGGCTAAAGTGCTTATTTCCAGTGCTTTATTGTTCAACGTCTGCCAGTGGGTTTAGGGCAACCAGCAACAAATTCTCTTAGAAAGGCTAAGTTGTCATCTGCTGTAAACCTAAGACCTTATAGGTTCTTTAGTATTGGAAGAGGTGGAATCCATATTTTGGGCCATATTTATTTAATTAAAACTAATCCCAGCTACTTAAATATCAAATTAGCTAATAAAACTAAAGCAATAATTCAAAACAATTCAAACATAACCTAAAATAAAAGATCTCGCCGGCCGGCTCCGGTTGTCAAATACCCGCACATGCCCATTTAAGCAATTTTTAAACGTTATATTTAAACTTGCACGTATTTAAGAGACACCCTGTTATAGTATTCTAAGTCATATTTTTAATATCTTAGATATTTAAAAGAGTCAATATTCTATTTATGTATATGTTGAAGGAGTAACAATTGTTTTGTAATAATGAATCTGCCAAATTCAGTATAAAGCAGACTTAGTTATATAGTTTTTTGTAGTTTTTTTAATATTAAATATTTATATGTATCAGCTGTACATTTACATTTTTTAAGAATACACTTAACCTAAAATAAAAGAACTCGCCGGCCGGCTCCGGTTGTCAAATACCCGCACATGCCCATTTAAGCAATTTTTAAACGTTATCAGAGGTTATTTAGAAAGAGCGCTTGGTGTAATTGATCCGCAAATTACGTCAGGCGGTAACGTTATTAGCGGGTGTTGCGTTAAAAATTGACTCACGCCAAAGACTCGCGCATATCGTAACCATGATAAGGTACGCGTAAATACTGGATGACGCTATTCGGTTTTCCGATATATCTCTAATAACTGTGCCGGTCAGGTGCTGTGCACAAATTTAGAGGCCATAAGTGGGCGTGCTATGTGCGCAAACTAGTCGCCTAACTAGTGCCCGATTCCGAAAATTGGAACCACGAAAAACAATAAAGAAAAAACAAAGATTATAATCTGTATAATCTGTGGTAAAACCAACAGAGGGCTCAAATATTGATCATACTTTATATAGCCTTCTGATCATTCCTAAATATGTCATTTGTATTTAATGTGTAAGACAATAAGTTTATTAATCGAATGTCTTCCATTACTAAAAAATGTATGACTAGTAATGCAGTAAAACTGTGGATCAGGTAAAAGCAGTCTTTCACTGGAGACATAGATATTGCAAAGCAAATATGAAAAGCCATATTGCATTAGGTTACAAAAAAGTGCTAGTGCTCCGCAGGAATAAAGTGAGAGTGCCTTGCAGTGACATTTTGTGCTCATAGTCTAAGAGCTGGCTACATAAAAAACCTTATCATCGTTACATGGCTAATTTTTCTTGTGAAGTATTCTTTTGTGTTGACATTATGAAATAGTCATGTCTGCTAGCGTGTTCCTGAGGCTTAAAGCGGGGGCGGCCAATCGAAAGGGTGAAACTTTGACACTAAAAATATTATAATACCA